TTTGATCCCTTTGTCCAAGATAACAGAATGCTAGAATAAACATGGCACTGGGATGTGACCCCTGGTTTATTCCTCTCACATGCTGCCAACCCTGAGAGCAAGTGGATCAAAGGACATTTATCTGACATGGATTTGGTGAGACATTGTAGTCTTGTGAAATCAAGCATTGTCAGTTTCAATCATGGCCCCGCCATCAACTACTTATAAAAAAAAAACACAATATGACCAGTTGCTACAATTCCTCAATTTTAAAATATCACTGGAAAAGGTGTGACATTAAAGGACCTGGCCTAGATCCCCAAAGTCCCAAATGAGTATGTAGAAAAGGTTTAAATAAGTGAGACACGTAGCATTATATTAGGGCTCCAAGATCAAAACTCTCTGCAGTTTGAGACTCTGGGGGCTAAGGCAAGGAATGTCTCTAGGTGGCCTGTATTTACTTAGTTTTCAAACAAGGAAGAGGTTACTCCGGAAACTGAACAGACGTTGGGAGTGGTTCAAGTGGTTCAAGTTACTCTCCCAAGTAACAGCTTATGTTTAATTTAGGAGAACTATCTTATATTGATTTAGGAGAAGTATCTTAGGAGAAGCTCTGCATATTGCATTTCACTGCAAGAGTGAAATGCCTGAAGCTACAGGCTTTATTTAGTTAACTGGAGTTGGGACCAGGTGTCCTCAGCTGTGACCTTATCTTGCCCTTTGAGGCATCTCTTCCTTCCCAGGTCAGCCATGCCCCCTGGCCATGCCACAGCCCTGCACGTGTATTCAGTTTCCAGTTTCAATGGCTCCCAATACTGTGAGAATTCAGAGACAGCAACTATGTATTGACACTAATGCTATATGTGTTTCACAAAGCTATTTGCTCCCTTACCAGCTTACCTTACCATCACTTATGCTTTTCTAGCCACTTTCTAAACTTCCTGTGCATTTTTACCCCACTTTTATATCTGTGTGTAGAAGGGCAGCTATGGGGAATACTATATGACAGTAATAAGTGGATGAGTAATAAATATTAAATCAAAGTACATATGAGTTTATTTGAAAATTGCCTCTGTGAGATTCCAACCTATTTGTTCCAATAGCTAAATATAATCCTTTATGTTTAGCTCTTTTTGAGCATAGATTGGACTTTAAGCATCAATATCTCTATCAATGTTTGACTGGCTTGAAGCCATATACCTTCATTCGGCTGTCTCCGGCCACAGCTTGCAGGGAGAGTAGGCATTGGGTAAACCTAGGTCAGGTAAAGCTGTACTGCCCTTGAACAGAAGTGCTAGTTCAGCACATATCCTTTAGTGGAGAGGGGGAATTCAGGACAATGGAGATCAGCTCATTGCATAATATTTTGTTGTTTTCCCTGCAAGCAAATCTGATTGGTGTCCTGACCTTATTTGAGTCACTAATACTCATATAATACAAATTTAAGAGTCTTCATTATACAAAGTAATTGTTAGATGATTCTCTGTATTTTCCATGAGTCAAAGAAAACTAACTTAATAAGAGCAACATCTATCAGCCCACTCAATCACACATCAGCAAATATACAAATTATCACCATCAATTCTTACTGGTGCTAAATTATACATATCACAATTCATTCATCATAATCTGTGTTTCCTGGAACTAATAAAATTATGTCACAAGCAGAATCACATTTGTTACTATAAAATAATCATAGAGAATTTCTTTCTTTGCAGTGACCCATCTACAGGTCCCATTTTACACTATAAAACTGACAATTTAATATCAAGTTCCTAGACTCATTGTGTTGAATTCAAAGACTTTTTAGAGCTCCCAAAATATCCATAAGTTTTCTGTATTGGTGCTAGCATATTTACATAAATAAGGTGTATACTTTCCATAAGATTTCTAGAACATCCTGTGATTATGCAAAATTCACAAACATAGATGCATTCCTACACTAGTGCCTTGCAAACAAACTATGGTATTATAACTAAGATTCAGATCTTGACCTCATTCCCCTCTCAATACACTTATTTTACCTATTCCTATTGTTCTTGCTAACCTGTTAACACTTACAGACTTCTTGTTTTATAATATCTCTATGGTCATGGATCTCATGGCTTTCTTATTCGAAATTTAAAAACACCTTCTAAATGCTAATCAATGAATTCAACAAGTATTTATTGAATACATAGAATATAGCACTATGCTAAGCCCTGTCAATGCAAATGGAAATGTGGAAACAGAAACACACGTTCTTAGGATGAGTTAGCAATCACTTGTGAAGTCTGGAGTCTCACCTAATTTTACAAGAGAGGATTCAGAATTTAAATTTTTGAAGAGCCAGAAGAGGCAACATATTAAGCCATCAACACTCTTACTTTAACTTGTATCATCTAGTAAAATATTTTTTCTTTACATAGCACATCAAGAACCAAGTTTTATGAATAAACTGAAAGAATAACAAATCAGATGAGGCATGTGATAGGAGTAAAATAGGAAATTTTAAGCAGAATATCAGCTAGGAGTGTAACAGGTATGATATTGCTAACCCACATACTATAGAAAATCTCTTAGGTACTGAAACAGGAGGAGTAGGAAGAGAAGAAATATTATAGAAAGTGAAATCTAGACCTTGAGAGTTTTGCAAAGACCATCAGAATATGAATGGGAGAAGTGCATCTTTAGCAATGGGCTTTCGTATTTTAGAGGTGATTCTACTAAAGGATTGTACAACCTCCCACAGTGTCATCATCCCAAGGGGTGTGTATCTTTACCATTGATAAATCTGCATTGGCTAATTGCAATCACCCATTGTTCATGGCTTATATGAGAATTCACTTGAGATTGTACATTTTATGGGTTTGGATGAGTACGTGAGTCTATAAGGACAGACTAGCAAGTTTTATAAGCTTAATGAAGCTCAACTTGTCAGTTATTGCTTCTATGAATTTTGTCTGTAGTATTGTTTCAAAGAAATCATCATGATGCTTGTGGTCACCTACAATGCCTGTATTTCTTTGCAAAGATCAGCTTACTATATTTATGGAGTCTGATAGAACTGTGGGGGACCGGCGGCGGCTGAAAAGATAAGAAGTATGAAATATAAATGACCTTTATTTGAGAGCTACCTCCAATCCCCTGGGGTGCGGCATCTCCCCCTGGGGTCGGCGATCTCTCTGTGGAACAGGTGGAGTGGAGGCATACATGTAGCTTAGGTTGGGGGTGGTGCCTGAGGGGCATTAAGGATGCACAGGTAGCCCATTGGCACTCATTTGGCGCCAGGGACAAATTCCTAGGGGTGGGGGAGATGGAGCTCCTTGGTTCTGCCTGAGGCTTTACCAGCTACAGTGTCCTGTCTGGGCCAAAACTCTTTCAGAGTCTATTTCTGGGATATTTATTCTGTGACACTCATCTGTTAGCCTATCCTTTTGCTAGTGATCACTGCCCCAATACTGCAGCTTTATGTTGTATCTTGAAGTTAGGAACATCAGTCCTTTAACCCTTGTCTCTTTTAATATAGCACTGGCTCCTTCTTATCTTTTACTATACCATGTAAAAATTTACAGTCAGCTTTCAAGAAATAATTTTCTGGTTTTTTTAATGGAGCTTGCAGTAAATCCACTGGTAAGTTGAAAAGAAGAGACACTTTGACAACATTAAGTAACCCTATCATGAATATGGAATCTCTTTCCACTTCGTCAGATCTCTGATTCTGTTTGTAAGAGTCTGTAGTTTTCCTAGTATAGATTTTGTACACATTTTTTCATTTATCCCTTTCATCTGTAAGCTGCTGATATAAAGCAGTATTATATTTTTAGTTTCAAATTCTACTTGTTCATTTCTCAGTAAGCCATGACTTCTCTTATTCCTCTGTCTCTCCACTCGGTTGAGTGATTTATTCTCTGATTTTATCTTTCTCAGATCTAAAATGTACTCATTTCTTTCTATATTTCAAAATCTTACTTGTTAAAATGGAGTAGTGATATCAAAAGTCTTCATACACAGAAACGGGACAGAAACTGGAAGTCTGAGCAATAGTTTCAAGCTAAGCACTGTGAATTTCTCTGTGGTCTTACTCAAAAGAAAGCATGCCAGAGAAGCATTACATACAGTTAAAGCCAAGCACAGGATCCTGAGGTTGTAAGTTTGACAGGAAAGTGATTCTATTTTGATATGTTTTATGTACTGTTCCCTAACTTTAAAAAACTGAGCCCCTATATAAAGAAAGAGAATGAAAAGGAGGAGGGAGAGGTGAAGAGGAAGCACATGACCAGCAGGAGGAAGGAAAAGAGAAAGAGGAGGAGGAGAAGTAGAAAGTATAAGTGAATAACAGGAAGCAGGAGAAGGAGACAGAGAAGAAAAGGAGGAAAGGCTCACAGAAAGAGGTCATTTCTGGGTAGATAGTAAAGGGATGTGTGGATGGAAATAGGGATGATGTTCAAGTACGAAGAGCATGCCTGATTTCTGTATATAAAGAAGGCAAAAAATTCTAATCTCGGTGGTATGAACCAGTACGGTTTCATTTCTATCTTTACCTGGTTAAGGTTGTACAATCTTTGCTTTCAACAGTAAAGTATTATTCAAGAGCAACCTCTCAGTATTGTGTTAGCACACTAGATATAGGATCTTGTTTCTAGCCCTTTACTGTCTTGTTTCTTGCCTCTTTACCCTGGCAAATTCAGCCATATGACTGTCCTTTAATTCTCTTTCTAAGCTCAGCATTTCTACTTAGTATAAACAAAAAAATCTTAAAAATGAGTAAGTTATAATAGAAGCAATTGTTCCACATTCATGTTACTAGTGGTAAAATACGGAGTGAGAAAATGCACAGGATAAGGGCACCATGAAGGTTAATAAGCAAAGTTTCTCATCAAAAGAAAAAAACTTTTAATTTTACCTCTAGCATTACTGAGTAATCTATGTGGACACAAGTTGCAAAAAAAAAAATCCAAGATCCAATAATATCTATGGACTTGTGCTTTTCTTCACTCAAACTGCATATGTCTTTCAGAATTCAAGGATGAATTTCGTACCTGCTCTGTGAAAATCTGTCATCTGACTTCCTGTTGGTGAAATTTCCAAATTTTCTTGGTATTTGTCTTACTCTGTAAGGAAATTCCTAGAATAGAGCACAAAAGAAAATATTCAGAGACAAGAGTGGTTATTTGACTTATCACTTTGTCAAGAAAGGATATTCACATAATCTAATTCTCTCCTGTCCTGTCTCTGTGTTTTCTCTGCTGTCTGCCACAGAAGGGCAATGAGGATGCATATTAATGAGACTGGCCAGGCAGCCACCCACTGCATTTTATCAAATGGAAAAATTATCTCAAAGATATTTGCAAAAGCCTGAAAGGACAGTTGCTTGATCAATTGTCACCTTTAAAAGTGTTTAAGATACAAACAAACAGACAAAGAGGAGAGGAGGGGGCAAGGTGAGATCTACAAGGTAGTACCAAAACCCCAAACCCATAGGAAATAGTACTTATCCTGTTTGTTGCTCTAAAATCACATGATGCAAAATAGGTTTTGCTCAGATGTCCTCAGTTTAGATAGCATTTTGTTTCAGTAATGTTGAATCTCAACCACAGAGAAAAAAATAAATGAGCACATTCATTGAGAATTAGATAATTTTTTAAAAATCTGTGAATCACTTTGTACTCAAGATTGTTAAGAGATTTAGTTACTACTGAGTGAGGTAAGTGTGAACTGATTTGTATTTCACAAACTCAGAAAGAATTATACTCTCCCACAAAATACCTATAGATAGAAGATTGTACATTGGAATTATGATGTTGATTTAAAATAGTTTCCTAAAAATTTTAAAAGCCCATAAACAAGTAGAAATAAATGTGAGGATTAATAAATGGTTTTAATAAGTGACTATAGGATATGCTTTGATTTTTCATCTTTAGTGATGTCATCATTTCTTGGATAAAAATAAAGATGAGAAATTGTCAAATTTATATGAGCAAATAATAGAGATTCAAAATTATGTCAGGGAAAATGCATCCAAAATCCTTGAAATTATTTGTAAGTATTGTTCTGAAGTCTAAGGTGGTCTGTTCATAATGAAAAACTTTAAGAATTCAGCAAGAGAAAAAGATGGTTATAATCAATTGTGAACTCTTAGATTTTATAAGTAAGATACCTTTGTAAAAACCATAAATAATATTTGCCCCTGTCACACACACATAGAACATTGTTTTGAATTCAAGTACCTCATTTTAAGAAGGAATTTGTCATTCTACAGAAAATCACTATAGAGGCAGAGGATGTAGCTCAGCAAGCATAAGCACTGACCTGGTAAGTGCAAGGTCCTGAGTGCAATTCCCAGTACCAAACAAACAACAAAAACAAAATAAGAAAACGTGCTATAGAATGATTATGTACAATAACAAAGATTATGAGAATTAGCATTATAACTGGAATCCATATTACATAAACAAGAATCCAAGACGTTGATGTTCAGCTTTAAAGAAAGAAAATGACAAAGAAAATCAGGTTCTCTTTATAAACAGGACAGAGTCACATGGGCTGAAAGAGAACCCAAAAGCCAAGCCATATCCTCCCATGAGCCAGCAGCAGCCATGTGGGCCAGAAAGAGAATCTGGAAGCCAAGTCATGCCCTCCCATGAGCCAGCTGGCTCAATAGATTTAGTATTTCTGTTTTACCATTTAGATCTTTGATCCGTTTTGACTTTAGTGCATAGTGATAGACATCGGTCTAGTTTTAGCCTTTAGCTTATGGAAAGGCAGTTTTTCCAGCACCATTTATTGAAGAGGCTTTCTTTCTGCCATTGAACATGTTTGGCCCTTTTGCCAAAGATAAAGTGGTTGAGTATATTTGTGTCTGCATCTTGTAATCTGCTCCATTAGTTCTTAGTTCAGTCTTTTTGCCAGTACTATGCTGATTTTATCACAATAGCTTTGTGGCATAATTTGAAGTTAGGGATTGTGATGCCTTCTGCCTTGTCTTTGTTGCCCAGGATTGCCTTTGCTATTCCAGGTCTCTTCTATTTCCAAATGAATTTTATATATGTTTTCTCTAGATTTGTGAGGTTAGCTAATAGTACTTTGACTTGGATTGCATTAAATCTATGTAACAGTTTTGGGAGTATGGCCTTTTTCACTATGTTAGTTCTTCCTATCCATGTGCTAAAGGTACCTTTCCATTTTCTGATATCCTCTTTGATCTCCTTTTTCAGAGTATTTTAATTTTCAGCATATAGATGCTTTACTTCTTTTGTTAGATTGACTCCTAAGTATTCTTTTCTTTTCTTCTTTGTTTTTTGCATGCTATTATGAAGGATGTGGTTTCTCTAATTTCTCTCCAGTAAGAAATTACAGGAATTTCTCACTGTGTATACAGAATGCTATTGACTTTGAGTATTGACTTTGTATCCAGCTATGCTATGAATTTACTTATTAAATCTAAAAGTCTTTTGGTAGAGTCTTTGGGATCCTTTATGTAGAGTTTCATGTCATCTTTGAATCATGATAATTTAACTTCTTCCTTTCTTATCCTTATTCCTTTTATTTCTCTCTCTTGCTTAATTGCTCTGGCTAATGTTTCCAGAACTAAATTAAATAAGAGTGGTGATAGTGGACATTCTTGTCTTCCTCCTGATTTTAGAGTGAAAGCTCTCAGTTTCTGTTCATTTAACATGATATTGGCCATTGGTTTGTCATAGAGGGCTTTTATCAGATTGAGGTAAAGACCATCTATTTCAATTTTTCATGATAGTTTCTATCATGAATGATTGTTGGACTTTATCAAAAGCTTGTCTGCATCTAGTGAAATGATCATGTGATTTTTGTCTTTGGCTCTGTTGATGTAATGTATCATGTTTACTGACTTGCATATGTCAAACCATCCCTGCATTCCTGGGAGGAATCCCACCTGGTCATGGTATATAATCTTCTTCATGAGTTGCCGCATTCTGTTTGCTAATATTTTATCAAGGATTTTTGAAACTAGGCTTACTAGGGATACTGGTCTATAATTCTCTTTTTTGGTTTGGTCTTTCTCTGGTTTGAGTATCAGAGTGATACTCACCTTCAGGTATGCATTAGGGAATATTTCCCTTCCAATTTAATTAAAAAATTTGAGTAGTATTGGCATTAAATCTTCTCTAAAGTTCTTGTAAAATTCAGCAGGAACTTGGGATCTTTTGTTGTTGTTGTTGGTAAGTTTTTATTTACCTTTTTAATTTCATAAACTGATATTGGGTTATTTAGAATATTTATATCTTCTTCACTGAGCTTTGGTAATTCATAGATTTATAGGAATCTATCCATTTTTCCGTTTTCTATCCTATGTCACTAAAAATTTTCTAAGTAGGTATTTATGATCCTCTGAATTTCCATAAGATCTGTAGCTATTTCACTCTTTTTGGTCTTTATTGCGTGAATGTGAATTTTTTATTTCCCTTTTTTAAAATAAGACTGGCTATGGAGTTTATCAATTTTATTTATTCTTTCAAACAACCAGCTGTTCAATTCACTAATTCTTTGTATTGTTTTCTTAAAGTCAATTGCATTAATTTCCATTAAGATCTTTATAATTTCCTCCCTTGCATGAACTTTGGGCTTAACTTGCTCTTCTAGAAGCTTGAAGTGCAGCATGAGGTTGTTTATTTGTGTTCATTCTGTTTTCCTGATGTGAGAATTTACTGCTACAAGTTTCTCTCTCAGTACTCCTTTCATTATTTCCCACATTGCATCCCCAAATGGTAAGTTGTATCTGCACTTTTGTTTGACTGTAGATATTGTTTAATTTTTTCCTTAATTTCATCTGTGACCTAGTTATTGTTCAGGAGGACGCTATTTAATTTCCACGTGTTTATGTAGATTTTGTGGTTGCTTTTGTCATTAATTTCTAACTTTATTGCATGATGGTCAGATAACATACATGGGATAATTTCAGTTTTTGCATTTATTGAAGTATGTTTCATGGGCTAGCATATGGTCTGTTTTAGAAAACATACCATGTGCAGCTGAGAAGAATGTGTATTCTGATATTGCTGGGTGGAACACTCTGTTAACATCTACTAAGCCCATTTGTTTATAAGTTTGGCTCAGTTCTGTTATTTCTTGGCTGAATTTTTGTCTAGTTGATCTGTCTCTGTGATGGTATTGAAGTCCCCCATTACAATTGTGTTTTTTGATTTCTCATGTCTATTAATAATGTCTTATATAGTTGGGTGTTCCTATATTTGGTGCATTTATATATATATATATATTTGTCTTTTTCATTTTTATTGGTACCGGGGATCAAGCTCACGACTGCCTGCTTGCAAGGCAGGCGTTTATGCTGCTGAGCTAAATCCCCAGCCCTGGTGCATATATATTTATGATTATTATCTCTTCCAATTGAATTTTTTCCCTAACAAGTATGTAGTGACCTTCTTTGTATCTTTTGATCATTTTTTGGTTTGAATTCATATTGTATACAAATAAAATAGTTACTCCTGCTTTTTTCTCGGTTCCTGTTGCATGGAGTATTGTTTTCTATCCTTTGACATTTAGCCCATGATTTCTTTTTGAGTTAAATGTGTTTCTTGTACACAGAATATTATTGGATCATTTTCTTGATCCATTTTGCTAATGTGTTTCTTTTGATTGGTGAATTGAGGCCACTTACATTGATGGTTATAACTGATATGTATTGGCTTATTTTTGTTATGCTATTTTCCTGTTAATCATCCCCTATTTTTCCCTTGCTTGGTGGTTTCTTTCTCTTGTTGTCATTGGAGTTGTGGTCATTTTTGTCTCTGTCCAGAATATCTTTCATTACTCTTTGTACTGTTGGTTTGGTGGTCATGAATTTCTTCAGCTGTTCTTTGTCATGGATGTATCTTATTTCTCCATTAATTTTGAAGGACAGTTTTGCAGGGTACATCAATCTGTGTTGGAAGCTGTTTACTTTCAGGATGTGAAACATTTCAAGTTCTTCTTTACTTGAGAGTTTTTGTTGAGAATTCTGCTGTGATTCTGATACACTTTCCTTTATAGGTCATCTGTTTCTTTTCTCTAGCAGCTATTAATATTCTGTTCTTGTGCTGAATTTCTAGGATCTTTATTATTATATGTCTGAGTGTAGATTTATTTTGGTTA